TGTGATCCAAATCAATTTAAAATATATTAAACTATAAACAGCCCCATGATTTTGTTTTCAGAGATCGTGCCAACAGCGTATAAGGATTTTCTTTCATATGTAAAACCAGACTTTCGTGCTTGTGTTTACTATTCACGGCGTTAGAACTGCTTGAAATTAATACAAATTGTTTGAAATTAGTGTCTAGCCGCCAAAAAGTAAGAAAACAAATGCGAAATCATAAATTTTTTAAATTTTCTAACATTTCGCTACATCAACGAAAGCAAAATTCTGTTCGACAGAAAATTCGATACTCAACGAAAATTTCGACACGCTTGCATAGCTCATAATACGAATTTCACTTTCGATTAAATTGTATTTTTTTATAATACAAGAAAAAATGTATTTTACGCCAATAAAACATTCAAGAAAAAACGTAAAACTTGGCCCTAATCATGACATCCGTGATCGAATGAAACATGATTCGAGTCGAATGAAATAAAATGACAGCCGTTTGTCTTAAATATATTTTAAGCTGAAAAGCGAACTCGCCACCAAATGCCGTAATCCAAAAAGAAATTTCGATCCGAATTTGATTCGAACACGGATGCCTTTATTCTACATTAAAAAAAAAGAAAAAATTACTCTGCACTACAAAATTGTTTGATTAACCCTTTTCCTGCATTTGTACAATATATTGTACATTTAATTTTTTGTAACACTGGAAGCCTGCCACTTAAAATCTTATTAATATTTTTGAAAACAAATTAAACTTTATGAAGTTTTGGAATGTCCCGAATAGTTTACGTAAATTCCAAATCGAAAACGTTTCAAAAATATTTTTAGAATTTAATTTAAAAATAGACCATTTTATTGTACATTTCCATGGAAGTTTGTAAGTGTCTTGTACAATATATTGTACAAACGTCCGCAAAGGTTGCAGTTGAAGAGCTTGTGCGCGGTTGTTGCAGTAAAGGGTAGGTTTTTGATTTCTTGATCTACTGAAGGCAGAAAAACAGGGAAGGTTTATTAAAACGGGTCATTTGTATTTTATATTGTAATTGTATCCGAAATTTTTCAAAATTTCTTTATATAATTCTCTTTTCATGGAGAAAATTTCTTAAATTTCTTTCGTATGATTTTCGATCCGTGAACGGATGTTACGATTACCACCTGTTGAACAATTGAATTCAAATTATTTAATAATCAATTCCATCATATCCGCACCGTTCGTTCAATTGTCCAAAATGCGGTGTCAAATTAAATGGCTTGGTTGGACTGCAGATTTGCCAACTTTAAAAATTATATTCTAATTATCTAAAAAAAAAATCAAAAATATATTTAGGAGGGTTGCCACGTATTTTATAAGCTGCATTCAAATTATTGAATAGGTTAAATGAAATTTTAAAGGATGGATATCAATCGGAAGGGGCTTGAAAATTGAGCTTTGTAGAAGTTTACTCGGAAATAAATTGTATAACCTCCCTGTCTATTTCTGAAATATGAAAGGTCAATATAATATGAATTGAAATTAGAAAATTTTATCGGTACTGGGTGATCTAAAATTTTGATAATATTAAAAACCGACTATGAGAAACGGTTGCACAAATTAAGAAGAAATATGACACTCGTATCGCTTATACCCTGATTAACATTTGGAATAGTTTGTAGGTTTTGGAAATCCTGTCTTGGGCGTTTTAACGCCGTGCGGGTTCACTAGTATTAATTTATTTCTTGACCGTTTTTTTAACAGGCCCGTACTTAGCTTTATACATTGAAATAAGCATGATCGTTAAAATTAACCTTGGAAATCCTGAATAACACAGCGTCAAAAATATTAATACCCTGAGGTTTTGACGATATTCTTTACTTTTTCCATTTCAATTTTTACATTTTTTTATTAAAATATAATTCATTCTACAGTAAAAACCAGCATAATCAATTTTTTTAATTTCATATAGAACTTGGGGAAAATTCAAGATATACCAAAAAATTTTCGACTTTTCAATTCGATTTCTTAAAAAAAAATTTTAGTGTGCAGTTTTGTAGGCAATTTAATTTTAATTCAATAAGGTTCAAGTTTCAAGTCACTAAAAATTACCGTTGAGATTTTTTTGACAATGCGCAAAACCCTCGACAAAAGATCTCAAAAATCAACGGTAAATTTTATAGACTTGAGACTTGCACATTATTTTACTAAAATGGGGCTACAAAGCTGCAAGCTCCAATTTTTTTTAAGAAATCAAATTGAAAAGTTGAAAATTGTTTGCTATTTCTTGAATTTTCTCGAGTTCTATATGAAATTGAAAAATAATCGATTCTGCTGGTTTTTGCTGTTGAACTAACTATATTTTTATAAAAAAAAAATTATATGGAAAATACTAATAATGAAACGTCAGGGTATTCATATTTTTGACGCTGACTGCATGTATATTCCCTTCCAAATTTGTCGTTGAAGGAGACATAAATCTAACAAATTAAAAATTGAAATTAGAATAGAATACTGGGATTTTTAAGCACATAAACAACTAAAAATTTATTAAGTTAATTCGTACAAGAAAATTATAAATATGACGTAAAGCTCACGCAGGTATTACAATATATAGAGAAAAACAATACGGGTATTCATCTAAATACGGAAATGTCTCGTAACAGCGTAAACCTCGTAAATAAGCGGGGTCGATTATGGATGGCTGAAATTGTATTTCAGATGGCAACTGGCCCCTTAAAGTTGGCAACAGAGTTGCTGTATTGACAACTGCGTTTTTGTGGTTGCCGCGAAAATTTTGATTGCGAAAATCGGGCAGGTTCTGCAATTCACTTCCGAGTGAATTTCAACCCCTGCCAATTTGAATTCAAAGCGCACTTTACTCAAATTCNATATAGAGAAAAACAATACGGGTATTCATCTAAATACGGAAATGTCTCGTAACAGCGTAAACCTCGTAAATAAGCGGGGTCGATTATGGATGGCTGAAATTGTATTTCAGATGGCAACTGGCCCCTTAAAGTTGGCAACAGAGTTGCTGTATTGACAACTGCGTTTTTGTGGTTGCCGCGAAAATTTTGATTGCGAAAATCGGGCAGGTTCTGCAATTCACTTCCGAGTGAATTTCAACCCCTGCCAATTTGAATTCAAAGCGCACTTTACTCAAATTCACTCGAAAGTGAATTGCAGAACCGGCCGGAATATATTTATTTTTTTTTTTAACAGTTTCTGCTGTAGCTTTTTTTAACTCAAGTCATGGNCACTCGAAAGTGAATTGCAGAACCGGCCGGAATATATTTATTTTTTTTTTAACAGTTTCTGCTGTAGCTTTTTTTAACTCAACTTTGCTGGTACTTCAAAATTCTATTATTTTCAACTTTTAGTACTTAACTAAAATTGCTACTTAATATATATTTTCATTTCAGTGGCGTTGCCCATCGGCAATCCAACTGACGTTGCTTTGCTACCCAAAAGTAAGTTTACGAGGTTTACGTGGTAAGGAGGCATTTACTCGTTTAGGTGAATTGCCTTAATATTATTCGGACCACTTAACTACACAAATACGTACGTATAAAATATTTTATAAGTTCTGAAATAAGGTGCACTTTTCACATATGGGTCTTTCGACATTGCCGCATCCACTGTAAGAATAGAAGTTATTAAAATTTTATTCTAACTTAAGAAATTCAACCAACTTACAACAATGAAACGCAACTATCGCATAAGAATATGCCACATTCAGCACATGAGTGACCACAGAATTCACACAACGGTTGAGAACAATTGCAGCAATCACTGCGAACATAAGCATCACGATGGCAGCACTTTGATTTCCGGCTCTCCAAGGAAATATCAACTATTAAATCCGTTACATTGCTTGATGAAATTTCGCCATTTCCACGGAGCACAACCTGCCTCCAAAGTGGAATATCTGTAGTCGCCTCTGTTGCTGTATGCGTCAGGTCCATTGATTTGCTTTCGCGTGCTGCCCTAAATAGCAAATTTATGGTTTTTTCTAAAGGAATTAAAA